CCCAAAGAAAAAACCCTCTCTCTCTCTCTCTCTCTCTCTCTCTCTCTCTCTCTATCTCTCCCTGAATCATCCAAATTTCTTATTCTCACACTCTAGAGCATGTTGTCATAAATCAGACAAATGAATGGCAAAGGTGCTAATCTCAAGGGCATGAGAGTAGGAAATATTTCCCTTTCTTGGTTCTTTTTTTTTTTTTTTTCCTTTCTTGGTTCTTGAGACTCATTTAGACAGAAAAAAATAAAATCTATGTTTAACCAAACCATCACTTATGCAATAACTGGTGAAATAGTCATATTGGAATAAAATTCAGAAAGTTCATGAACCACAATGATTAATGATGAGATGGAGAAGTTACTTATCTAGCACCAAAATTACCTGTGAAATTCACAAGAGGCTAAGGATGTAACCATAAACAAGGCACTCTATTGTCAAGTCAGTAAGCTATACTTTCTAAATGCCAGATTTTGGTATTAATCTAGAAAATCTACTTACCACAAAAACTATAAAATTTCCTCTGAAACCAAATTGATAAATAATACAATGTAAAGGGAAGACTACTTAAGCACCATGGCACTGAACTTATTCCAATTTCATGGAAACTTCAGAGACCTTATAATACGCTTACATTATTTTTTCTAACATAAGGAATCAACAAATTCATCACTTCTGCTTCTCAATTTATAAAATGACAATTTTATAAAGAAGGGGTATAAAGTATATATAAAACAATAAAAAGAAAAACTATATATTCAGAAGAACAATGAGATTTATGCAAAAATAAATTTCAAAGGAAAGAAGCATTTCCTTCTTTAGTTACTGGGTAAAACGCAGTTAATATGTTAATAATCTTTGGCCCTACCTGGGATGAGAAAACTGTACAACCAGATATTATTAATAATTTTGAGCAAAACACTGAATTCCAATATATTATAATCAGGAATTTACTTTTTAAAAAATAAAATGTACCTTTCATCTGAGTAGTAAAATTCAGTGCCAATTTTGCAAAGAGATCTGGATTCTCAAACTTGTCTTCTTTAACTTTTAACCAGAAACAGTTCTCAGACAATTCTTTCGGCTCAATCTAAAATGAAAATAATGAAGATAAATTTTGAAATCATTATATCATATTTAGTTTTTAAAATAATTTACTTTCTCGAAGGCTGAACGACAGTCCATTTATTAATCTATTTACTGAATCAATTTTAGGATCTATCAAAATAATACTTTTTCTTTTTTTTGAGATTTTTGCCTTAGGGTGCATACAGTTGCAGAGAGAGAAAGAGAAAGAGAAACAGACAGAGGCAGTGAGAGGGAAACTGAAACTGAGAAATCACCCCCCACGGGAGGGCCCATGCCACAGTCTTTTCTCCATACTCTTCCCAGGATCTTGGGCACACACACTCGTGCCCCAAGTGATTTTTCATACCACCAGGTCTGGGACTCAAACCAAAGTCAGCACTGTGGGAGGACAGCAACATAACCACTAGACCATCTGCTACTCCCTCAAAACAATACTTTTAAGTTAAATACTCATTGGTAAGCTTTCAGAATTCTCTTGACCTGCAAAAATGATACATGATATAAACCAGCTATATAATAAAAATCATTTTAAAATTCTTCTACTGGAAGTAATCTTAAAATATATTAAGTACTTCCCTCCCCTCACATATAACTTTTTTTCCCTCCTAGAATTTTGGAAATGGAAAACTTAAGAGTCAGAAAGTGAATTCCCTAGGGCCAGCAGTTGGCATGCTGTTTAAGGCACTGGACATCCACATGGTTGACCAAGGTTCAAGTCCTAGACCTGGTGGCTTGAAGATCACGCTGGGCTCGTGTGTGTACGTGCCCAGAATCCCAGGAGGAGACTAGAGGAGAAGGGATTGCAGCATGGCCATCCTCCCAGGAGGGTGATTTCTCACTTTCCCCCTCACTGTCTCTCTGTGTCTCTCTGGTAAATACACTTGCCCTGTGGCAAAAACCTAAAACAGAAAGTGAATTCTCCTTATCTAGTAATTAGATTGAAGGCAACAATCATATCAACAGCTACCATATGTTTTCCACTATGTATCAGGGACTGCTTTAGTGATTTGCATATACCAATGAAACTAATCCTCACAATAATCCTTTGACACAGGACCTATGACTATCTCCATGTTAAAGATGAGGAAACTGAGCCCCAGAAAGTTGAAGTGTGTGCCCAAATTACTAAGTGGAGGAGCTGGGATTTAAACCCAGGCAGTCTAGCTCCGGATCATAGTACTCTTAACAACTGTACTCAAACCCATGTTTAGAAACCTGTATTTTACAGTACATCATGAAGCTTTGTCATATGCCAGTACCAATACATTATGTGTTCAATTGCTAAGTTAACAAACATATACACACATAGGTAACTGGGTCAACAGCTTCCAGATCCTATATTCTGGTGAATTGTGCCTAATTAAAAATAATTACATTCAAAGATAATTTATATCTCATTTAATCTTACAATCAAAACATAGGTATATGCCTATCCTTTAAAATTGATTTAACCATGAGGCTCATCAAACTGACTCACTACATAGAAACTGTCAGATATCACTGTGAATATGCTCGTGAATAGGTCATTTCCCCAAATGGTGCTCTGGGTAAAGTTTTTTTTTTAATTACAAGATTAGTTCCCAGTAAATGAGGACTGTGTCCATTTTTTTAATAATCTTTTTAAAGAAACATTGATAATGATAATAAAGCAAAATTATATTTGCAAGCAAACATTTTTATACATCATATCAAAAATAATTGATTGAGTCACTAGTAGATACTGTCACCTAGTCTACACTATCTGAAAGTTTAAAAACTCAAAAATAAGGTCTTTTTCCAAGAACAAAAATAACTGATATAACATGACTCAGTAATAAAGAAAGTTGAAGTATTTGAGGTCAACAATATCTTCTGTAAACAATGTCAAACTTATTTTCCATCTGTTGATATATTTCAAATATTATTCTTTATATCATTTAAACACTCCTTTAGTCATCTTCATAATTTAAAACAGTATGGGGAACTTCCAGTTATCTAGATACTAGGTTGAAAGACGGACATAAAATGGTAAACTCACAAAGGAAAGGGAAAGAACTAACAGTCATAGTCTCGAGTATTATACAATACTTACATGTAGCAATGCAAGTTTTCGCACACTAATGATCAAACATGACTAAACAAAGTCAAAAAGCTCTAGTATTACCTTTGCCCAGTTGATTCTCTTCATGGACACTTCTGGTTTATATACTTTTTTCTGCTTCATTCCATAAGGCAGTTCCACTGATGCTCCTGGGGGAGGAGGAACTCCTCCAAGGGGTGGTGGTGGGGGAGGTCCCCCCAAAAAAGGTGGTGGTGGTGGAACACCAGTCATTCCTTGCAAAGGAGGTGGTGGAGGAGGAGGAGGAGGTGCTCCTCCAGGTAGAGGTGGTGCTGGTGGAGGTGGTGGTGGAGGAGGTACAACACCTGGCAGTGGAGGTGGTGGAGGAGGGCCTGGAATTGTTGAACTTGAGAGTGCCTAAAATATAAATACTCCAAGTTTAAATGCTTATAATAAAATATAGCAGAAAGAATGCATATCAATGGATATCTGTGGTTTAAGATTATAAATACCTTATTCATTTTGAGATTATGTGTACTTTATACATATGTATAGCTTAAGATTATATATACCTTATTTAATTTTTAAGATTACATACACTTTACTTGAAGTATAGCTAAGTTTAACAGTACATGAAAAAAATTTGCACGAGTATTTGATACTCATTATAAACAATGGATAGTGACTACTCCTGCTAACATACTAAAGATATGTAAGTTAGCATTCTCCAATACACTTTAAAATACTCCTCAAAAAAAATGAAAAGTTACCTTTTATTACATATGCAAAGAAGTATAGTAGATGGCTTGGGCTATTAGTCTAGTTGGTTTGAATGCAGAATAATTAATATAAGGTCATGGATTCAATTCCCTTGGAGGTCAATTAGCTTGACACAAAGGGTCTGTTTCATGGCACCAGTAGCTGTCTTCTAATATCAATAAATAATACTAAGTAGCATCTACTTAGATAGTAATAGACACTTATCAACATTTTTAAATCTATTATTTATTTTTATCCTTATAACTTTGTAATGTAAATAGGGCATGCTTATCTCATCTTTCTCATTGTTACAGATGAGGAAACTGTAACTGTAAAAATTTAAATGACTAACCAAAAGTTGCAGTCTGAAATGTAATTAGGATGAGAATATAGTTCTCACACCCAACGTAGTCCTCTTTCCACTGTAACAGACTTATTTTTCATAAGTAGGTGTCATTTGCCATAAGGAGAATTAATTCACACGAATTGGATAATGAAGACAGTATAATTTATTTCTACTCTTAAAAAGTAACTTAAACCAGCTATAGTAGCACAAGGTTAATGCAACACTACAACATGCTGAGGACGTATGAGAAGGTCCCAGGATCAGTTTCACGATCTCCCTTAAAACATACTTCATCTTGATGCTAGGGAGATGAGGCTGGGAGAAAAACTGTGGCAAGAAGACAGGAGGTGCCTGTCTCTCTCTCTTCATGGAAGCAATGAATAAATAAACTTATAATCAAGATGTAACATTGTATTCACTGAATTAAAGGTTCAAAACTATTCTCCTGGAATCCAATCCTCTCCTGAATTAGGAAGAACTAAAGACAAGATTAAAATAGGGACCAGCAGATGGAGTAATGGTTATGTCACTGGACTCCCATGTAATCGACTACAGTTCAAATCCCAGACACGGCGGCTTAAAATTCACGCTGAGTGTGTGTACATGTGTGCCCAAAATCCCAAGAGGAAAATGGAGGAAAAGGAATTCCAGCATGGCCATTTCTCCTGAAGGTAATTTCTCTCCCTCTCTCCCTCCCTCCCTCCCTCTCTCTCTCTCTCTCTCTCTCTCTGGCAAGTCCACATGCCCTATTTTGAAAATTTCCCTTAAATTCAAAAGAAAAAAAGATTAAACTATATAAAATTCTTCTCATCACTTTAATATGGAAAAATAAAGAAAATCTTTTTACAGTCTTGATTGAGAACAAAATGAAAAGTTCAGAAAATTAGTAATTTATTCTACAAGTTTTGTATATGAATTAATTTTTTGGATACTATAAAAAGAAAAATGTATGTTCTATTTATTTATTAACAACAGCAATATTAAAGTAATACACATTTGTAAACATCCTTTTTTCCTGTTTTAAATCATATTTATGTTATGAAACTTGTACAGCCACAAAATTCTGTTATTTAAAATAGGCTTTTACTCGAGTTACATTCATATTTTACAGACCTAAAAAAGAATCTCAAACATTTATACTAAATGCTACTGGACTTTAAAAATTATAGTACTATCAGTCTTTTCTTCCCTCTTATGATTAATTATAAAGTAAACAATTAAATTAGCCCTCAATATAGTGCTGTGAATTGAATAAGGAAATGAATAATATCTGACATCATTCTGGGTATGCTAGAGTGCTACATGCACTTTTATAGCTAATTTTACAATAAATAAGCAACTACTCACTACACAATTAAGGTTCTCTGCTAGGTGCAGTAGGATCTTGAATAAAAGTAAGAAATACACTGTCCTGAAGGTCTCAAGGTGCTTATGTACAAGTGGAAGAAAAAGAGACAGGACCAAAGAAATATAATATCAGTGCTCTTAAAAAGTGATATGGAAGTTCAGAGAAATTGCCTAAAGGGACAAGCCAGATGGCTTGGTGGTTAAGGTGGCTAGATTCCACATGGCTGACTCCACAGTTCCAGTCCTGGACTCAGTGACTTGGCGGGGGGGGGGCATGTCAGGTGTGTGTGCATATGCCCATACCCCCCCCCAAAAAAAAAACTTTCCTAATGGAGTTTTTAGTGAAGCTTTCCAATAGATATCTTACCAATATTCTTTTGAAATGATGTGTTTCATGTGAACAGATGAACAAGGCAGGGCATTTCTGACGATTAACATAAGCCACCATTTCTCAACAAAGCTCCATGAAATCTTTATTTCCAGGAGCTAAGAATAGGTGTTCTCAGATAAAAGCTTCTGTGGTCAAATGAGTCTGGGAAAGCTATATGAAAGAGTTAGACAGGTTTCTTCAATGTAGGGCATTTCTGATCCTTTATCATGGTAATGAGTAGTGTAACTCCTCAAGAGGAGAATTTCATGTGTACCCAATTTATTGGACTATGGACTGCTTTTTCTCATGAAAAATCTATTAGCATTTCTGTAACTAATGTCCAGGAAATGCTGGCAGAAGGAAAAGTATGGAGGCAGTAAGTTGTGAATGTGAAGAGAAGAAAGGTGACTTAGCTGCAACAGAGGCTGTAGTTAAGAGAGCAGTCAGAGCCTACGCTGTGAAGGGGAGATAAGGGAGTCCATGCCAGAAGGCCTTACAATTCCTAGTAAGGAGATTTTATTTAATCCTGACTGCAACAGGCAACCATTAAACATATTAAAGCTCGGAGTGACAATAATCAGGGCAGTGTTTTAGGAAGATTATTATGCCACTGACATAAAGGATGAATTTGAGGAGGAAGAGACTATAGGCAGGGAGAGCAGTTAGGAAACAACTGTAATAATCCAGGTAAAATGAAATGAGGGCATGTACCTGGTTGGGGGTTTGGGGAATACCTGGCTTTTGATATAAGACGGAAAAAAGCCCAAGAACTCACATAAAACAGAGACTGAGGTTATTTATCAGGACATGGGAGAGGAAAATAGGAAATAAAAATCCAGCTTCCCTATCTAAAAAAGTTGGTGGTAAAATTTAAATGAATAAGAATAGAGACACAGCTGGGTTGAGGAAAAAGAGGCCCCAAATACTGAGTTGGATTTCAACATGCATCCAGTAGGATCTTCCTATGAGGATAGCTAATCAGAAGCTGGAAATATAAGACAAATTCAGGAGATTAGAGATCTACTAAAAGGTGAAATGTGAATTTATGATACTGAATGGGGCATGAGAGTTAAGGACACACAGAGAAAAGAGCAGTGGACAGAATATTGAAGAACATCACCATGTGAGGATGACAAAATAGAGTGAAGATAAGTAGGAGGTGGAGAAAGATTGATTAAATGAAAGTAAATTATAAATATTAGAAATAAGTGGGGCCTGCAGGTGGTATGATGATTAAGGCATAGGGCTCACACGTGGCTGACCGTGTTTTGAGTCCTGGACTGGGAGGCTTGAAACTCACACTGGATGTGTGTGCATGCATGCCCCAAATCCTGAGAAGTAAATGGAGGAGAAGGGATTGTAGCGTGGCCATCCCCCCTAGGGGATGATTTCTTGCTTTCTGTCTTGTCTTTTGCTATCTCTCCAGCAAGCGCGTATGTCCTGTAGCAAAAATCTCTCAAAGATAAAAATAAATGAATAAATGATGCAGGGCCAGTATAGAAAAAAGGCACAGTATTGGGTAATTTTTCATTTACTAGAGAGTTTTGCTGTAATTTTTCAGTAGATTGATAATAGATCTAGTCAATCAACAAACATCTACTGAGCATCCACTATGTTAAGACATCATGCTCAATTTCTTAATATTCATTTAAGATATAAAGTGTATTGAGAAATACTTAAGCAGTTCTAATGTTTAGACACCCTAATGAAAAATTTAAGTGTATATAGAAGCTTTTCATCATATGGAATGCAGGTGGAAATATAAAGTTCATAGGTTTTGAAATGATGGTATTTGAGATTTAAAGAGATCTTAAGAAGCTTTTGGTACCATTAAAATTAATGATTATTTCTCCATTCTTTTTGAAAGAAGTTACTATGCACCTAATTTTTCAAATCGTCATGAAAATTTCATCTCAAAAATAGTTTTGCTTGTGTAATATATTCAGTTAAAAATATTCAGAACACTTTGAGCAACTGTGTTATTTTTGGCAAACATTAAGATTATTTATTTTCCTGGAAAATCAAACCTGTAGAGTTATTTTGACTAAAATGTGAAACTGCCAAAAAAGTCTGTTTCTGGTCACATTTTCCCTTCTATCTAACAAGATAATTTTCTGCCATCAAACTCACTTTGACATGACACAAAGTCTATATCTTGTTTCATTACCTGGGTTCGAAGTTGCTGGATTTCTGTTTCAAGTTCTTTGATTTTTTCCTCTCTTTTTTGAAGCTCTGCTTGAGCTTCCTGTCGAGCTGTGAATTCTTCATCGAACTGCAATGATCACCACCATGAATGTACAGTTACTAACATATATAGGTTTGAGAAATCTTTAAACAATATTACGAATCAAATAAGTTAAAACAGTTTTCTTCAGTTGAATCTCCAGATCACTCAGAATCACATCGGATCTCTTGATTATTTTCATAATAATTAAGTGCCAATATGGAAGTGGTTTAATTGTCATGTAGTGGCAATAAAGAAATGTGCCTCCCACTCAAGCAGAACCATTTTCATTTCTTAAAAAAAAAAAACTCAAAATATTTTATAGGCTCTTATCATCAGGGTGACCTTACACTGCTTTAGAACTCTACACATTATTCCAACATTATTACTGTGTCTAAGAGTGATGTATCTTGGGACCAGCAGATGTCATAATGGTTACATTGCTGGACTACCATGTAGTCAAATGCAGTTCAAGTCCTGAACCCGGCGGCTTAAAACTCATGTAAGATGTGTGTGCATGTACACCCAAGATCCTGAGAGGAGAATGGAGGAGAAGGGATTGTGGCATGGCCATTCCCAGGGGGTGTGGGGGGAGGCTTCTCACTTTCTGTCTCTCTGCCTCTCCAGCAAGCACATGCGCCTCCAGCAAGCACATGCGCCCTATAGCAAAATTTTTCTTTTAACTGTTGAGAATTGTGTTTAGAGTTTGTGGAACAAATATAAAAGCGTTATTCACTGCTAATAGTCATCCTCATAGTACATTTGATCTTTGGAAATTATAAAATGGCATTCTGTTCTAAATCTAAAGAAAGAATGAGTGAGAAAACTGAATATTAACAGTGTTGGCACAAAATTAAACTACTATTTAGTAATACTTTTATTTATCTCTACTTGAATCTATAGAAAATGCCCCATAAAGGCTGGTCCAAGTCTTCTCTAATCTCTGTATTTCAAACCCACCTCAGATCCCTGGAGTAAAGAATCTGCAGATCCTTCAGTGGATGCCCTTGTTTTCCTAGTTCACTAACAAGATGGAGCATTGATGTAAGCTCATTAGATTTCACTACTATCTCTGTTTAGAGTTACCTGAATCTCTACTGCAGCCCACCCCTCAAAGTTAGCTTCTTCTGCGTGCTTCTCAAATTCAGAGTTTACACAAACATACTATATATGATTCTTCTCCTATAAATGTTTTATTGGTACATTTGAAGAAAGGCACACAATGCTTCTGCTTTTAATTTAAAATCATGTTCATCTATAAACATATAAATATGGAAATCACAGAAACCTGAAAGATGTGAGGTGGAAAAGGTCTTCTTAGAAGCCTGTACATCTTACCCTCTCCTCTTAATACTGAAGAAACTAAGATCCAAGGAGAGCAAGTGGTTTATTTAAAGTTACAGCTAATAAGTCAAATAACTGTATGCTACCCAGCAGGGCCTCACCACCATCCTGCCTCAGCCCTCTGCACAGCTGGGATTAGAGGTGTGAACCACTGCTCCAGCTTTCTAGTGCTTTTTGTTTGTTTGTTTGTTTGTTTGTTTTAAATCTATGTTATACTGCCTCTTAAAATGACCAAGAACAAGAAAATGTGTGAAGGGACCAGCAGTTAGTGTAATGGCTATGTCGCTGGACTCCCACGTAGTCAACCTTGGTTCGCATCTCGGACCTGGTGGCTTAAACTCACTCCGGGCGCGTGTGCGTGCGTGCCCAGGATCCCCAGAGGAGAAAGGAGGAGAAGAGACTGCGGTGTGGCCATCCCCCCTGGGGGGTGATTTCTCACCTTCTGTCTCTCTGTCTCTCTCTCTCTGTCTGGCCAGCGCACAGGCCCTATAGCAAAAACCTCTAAAAAAAAATGTGTGAAGATAACTACCAGACCATCCATGTTTTCATTCTAAATACTGGTGAGGCTAGCTATCAAACATAGACATTTCTTTTCTACTATTTCAGAATTCCTCTTCCCATAATACTCGTTTACAGAAAACTTTACCAGTTATATCATCACAATTTGCTCCAGTCTTGTGGTATCTAATTACAGTGTCAGCCAAAAATTAAGGTGATTCTAAGATTTTTTCAAAGGGAATTTTAAATATGCTACTTAAGAGAACATTAGAAATATAAGGGTCTATTAATCAAAAAGCATGCATTTTCTTTTGCCAATAAAAATGACAGCTTCACACAAACATTTTATGCTCAAGCTCTTAAAACCTATTCTAGTAACTGGAAAAGCAAAGACATTTCTTCAGATGCCCTAAAGTAACTTCAGTAATACTCTATAATTTCTAGAGTGATAGCAAAAGTGATTATCTAATCTCCAAGGTAAGTCATAACTTTGAAGAGACAGCAATATGTAAGCACTTTATCTTGCTGTCAAAAGGCTGAAAACTGGAGAGCTTTTAGACTTGTACTTCAATCCTTCTCCCTGCATCCAACAAGAAATACTATACAAACCCTTAATAGGATCTAGAATTACAGCAAAAAAAGAGAAAGTTTTAATAGAAGATAACAAAATTGTAGCAATGCTTTCATGAAAAGGGAAAGACAATCTTAGATCTAAATGAAATTAAGATATTTATAAAGCTGGTATTCACTCACAGGCATTTACATAAGGTCTTAACAGAAAGAAATGGGGAATCTCAATTCTACCAAGTCAACATGAAGTAGCAGCATCCTTTAAAAAAGTAGTAATTATTACTACTAAAAAAAAAAATTCAAAGAACCTAAATCTAAGCAGAGACAGAGAATTAAAACATTGCAACATTCCCTTGTTATCAATTGCACTGATTTTAAAGATCAGGTCAGGTAAGACTGACTAAATAACCTCACAGTTGTCCAAAAAAACTACCTATCATAAATAAGTAAGAGCTATAGGAAAACGAAGGAGAATTTACTTTGGTCGATTGTTTCTAAATATATACTTTCAGTAATCAAATTTTACTTCATTTATCATTTTAGTATAATATGGCTAGTGTTTTTCTTCCATAATGGATTTAAGATGATTGAGGGAAAAGTAGCAACTTTATCTTATTAAAAAATAAATCACTATTTGGTGGTTATGTTTGATTCCAGAAATATAAAATATTATATAAATAAAACAACATTTATTGGGCATCTTATAAAGAAACAAGGTAGAATATATGTAGAATATATGCTTTGATTAAATTACTAATTTAACTATTAAAGTCAATATGTTATAAGCTAAGCCTTACCTTCTTTGAAAATTCCACTGCTTTTTGTTCACTTTCTTCAACTTTTGCTTTGTTCACACAAGAATCTATTTAGATTGAACAAAAGTGATTAGAAATTATGACATGGTATCTCTAGGCAAAAGATGCCTGTCAGCCTATAATTCTACTATGCAGACTATCATTTTTATGTCAGCTGCTGTTAAAGGGAAACTGACCTATACTACACATAAAACACAATCTATCACATTTTCTTTTTTTATCGTACTAACTGAATTCAATGATACTATTGTTCAGACACAAAAGCAGGCATACAGAAATCTATGTGACTAAATTATCATCATTTTAAAGGAATTCTCTTATTTTTCAACTCTTATAATTACAGAATTCTTCCAAAAAATGTGTGTAGTTTGTTATTAGTGGAGAGGTAACAATAACTCCATGTTTTAAATTAAGCCTCAAAATCAGCTTTAAAAAAAAGTAGACGGGGAAGATACGTTCATTAATTCAGGCTACCTAGTGAAAGATTTTACTTAAACTGCTGGTCTGGAGTAAAATGTATCACATATATAAGGAAACAAACTTCAAATTTCTCAAATCTCCATAGAAAAGTTATAGATACCAGATACAGTGTGGGAAGAGGGTGGGAGAAGGAGGTGAGTGTTAAGACATTTAGGAAAAAAATAGAGAGGCAAGACGTTTATGGGACAAAGAAATGGGCTATTATCTGTTGATGATAATGTGTATAGTATTCCCAACTGGATGGTGAGAAATGTATGTTTTCATGTCGGAACATGCACTTTACGAGCTAAGTGACATATGTGATTGAATGTATAAAAGAAATTAAAATTTTTAAAAATTCTCAGCTCTCACCAAACATTTCAAAATACAAAGAACTGAGGAACCTCTTTTGAGCAATATTGTATCTCTCATAATTATATATAAAGTCTATTTTGCACATTGTCATTCTACACCTACTTATTTACCCCTAAAAAATGAAAATGTTTGCACTCATATCGTAATGAATGTCCAGAGCAACTTCACTAATAATAGTCAAAACCTGAAGGACCCAAAGGAACATAAACAAGTGTATCTCTAAATAAATTGTGGTATACTCATATACTGGAACACTACTCAGCAATAGGAGATGTGTAAAAGAACGATTGATAGATGCAACAGAACAACATGGATGAATCTCAGCATAATTGTCCTGAATGAAAGAAAGACAAAAAGAGAGTACATGATATATGTTTGTATATGTATAAAATTTTAGAAAATGAAACTAATAAGAAAAAAATATGTAATAAAATGAAACCAGTGAAAGAGACATAAGTGGTTGCCTTAAGATGGGGAGAGATGGGAGGCATGAGAAGGAGGGACTAAAAGGAAAATGCAGAAACTTTAGGGGGAAGCAGAGATACGTATTATCCTGACTTTAAAAATAGTTTTCAGTGTATTTATGAATATCAAAATTTATCAGGACCAGCAGCTGGCGTAATGGCTGTGGTGCTGGACTCCCATGTAGTCGACCGTGGTTCGAGTCCTGGACTTGATGTCCTAAACACACACTGGGAATGTGTGCGTGCATGCCCAAGATCCTGAGAGGAGAATGAGGAAGGGATTGCAGCGTGGCCATCCCCCCTGGAGGGGTGATTTCTCACTTTCTCTCTCTCTCTCTCTCTC